ATGAGACAGACAATGAGACAGAGATATAATGAGACAGACAGAGATATAATGAGACAGACAATGAGACAGAGATATAATGAGAGAGAGAGATATAATGAGACAGACAATGAGACAGAGATATAATGAGACAGACAGAGAGACAAAGATATAATGAGACAGACAATGAGACAGAGATATGAGACAGACAGAGATATAATGAGACAGACAATGAGACAGAGATATAATGAGACAGACAATGAGACAGATATATAATGAGAGAGAGATATAATGAGACAGACAATGAGACAGAGATATAATGAGACAGACAGAGAGACAAATATATAATGAGACAGACAATGAGACAGAGATATAATGAGACAGACAGAGAGATAATGAGACAGGCAGAGCGACAGAGATATAATGAGACAGACAGAGAGACAGAGATAAAATGAGACAGACAGAGATATAATTAGACAGACAATGAGAAAGAAATATAATGAGAAAGACAGAGAGACAAAGATATAATGAGAGAGAGATATAATGAGAAGGACAGAGATATAATGAGACAGACAATGATACAGAAATATAATGAGACAGACAGAGAGACAAAGATATAATGAGACAGACAATGAGACAGAGATATAATGAGACAGACAATGAGACAGAGATATAATGAGACAGACAGAGATACTATGAGACAGACAATGAGACAGAGATATAATGAGACAGACATAGAATGAGACAGACAGAGATATAATGAGACAGACAGAGATACTATGAGACAGACAATGAGACAGAGATAGAATGAGACAGACAGAGATACTATGAGACAGACAATGAGACAGAGATAGAATGAGACAGACAGAGATGGAATGAGACAGACAATGAGAAAGATATATAATGAGACAGACAGAGACACAGAGATATAATGAGACAGACAGAGAGACAAAGATATAATGAGACAGAGATATAATGAGACAGACAATGACAAAGATATGAGACAGAGATATAATGAGACAGACAGAGATATAATGAGACAGACAGAGAGACAGAGATATAATGAGACAGACAGAGAGACAGAGATATAATGGGACTGACAGAGAGACAAATATATAATGAGACAGAGATATAATTAGACAGACAGAGAGACAGAGATATAATGAGACAAACAGAGATATAATGAGACAGAGATATAATGAGACAGACAGAGAGACAAAGATATAATGAGACAGACAATTAGACAGAGATATAATGAGACAGACAATGAGACAGAGATAAAATGAGACAGACAGAGAGACAAAGATATGAGACAGAAATATAATGAGACAGACAATCAGACAGAGATATAATGAGATAGACAGAGATACAATGAGACAGAGATATAATGAGACAGAGAGAGAGACAGAGATATAATGAGACAGACAATGAGACAGAGATATAATGAGACAGACAGAGAGATAATGAGACAGACAGAGAGACAGAGATATAATGAGATAGAGAGACAGAGATATAATGAGACAGACAGAGAGACAGAGATATAATGAGACAGACAGAGAGACAGAGATAAAATGAGACAGACAGAGATATAATTAGACAGACAATGAGAAAGAAATATAATGAGACCGACAGAGAGACAAAGATATAATGAGACGGAGATATAATGAGACAGACAGAGATATAATGAGACAGGCAATGATACAGAGATATAATGAGACAGACAGAGAGACAGAGATAAAATGAGACAGACAGAGAGACAGAGATAAAATGAGACAGACAGAGATATAATTAGACAGACAATGAGAAAGAAATATAATGAGACCGACAGAGAGACAAAGATATAATGAGACGGAGATATAATGAGACAGACAGAGATATAATGAGACAGGCAATGATACAGAAATATAATGAGACAGACAGAGAGACAAAGATATAATGAGACAGACAATGAGACAGAGATATAATGAGACAGACAATGAGACAGAGATATAATGAGACAGACAGAGATACTATGAGACAGACAATGAGACAGAGATATAATGAGACAGACATAGAATGAGACAGAGAGATATAATGAGACAGACAATGAGACAGAGATAGAATGAGACAGACAGAGATGGAATGAGACAGGCAATGAGAAAGATATATAATGAGACAGACAGAGAGACAGAGATATAATGAGACAGACAGAGAGACAAAGATATAATGAGACAGAGATATAATGAGACAGACAATGACAAAGATATGAGACAGAGATATAATGAGACAGACAATGAGACAGAGATGTAATGAGACAGACAGAGATATAATGAGACAAAGATATAATGAGACAGACAGAGATATAATGAGACAGACAGAGAGACAGAGATATAATGAGACAATGAGACAGAGATATAATGAGACAGACAGAGAGACAGAGATATAATGGGACTGACAGAGAGACAAATATATAATGAGACAGAGATATAATTAGACAGACAGAGAGACAGAGATATAATGAGACAGAGATATAATGAGACAAACAGAGATATAATGAGACAGAGATATAATGAGACAGACAGAGAGACAAAGATATAATGAGACAGACAATTAGACAGAGATATAATGAGACAGAGATATAATGAGACAGACAGAGAGACAGAGATATAATGAGACAGACAGAGAGACAGAGATATAATGAGACAGACAGAGAGACAAAGATATGAGACAGAAATATAATGAGACAGACAATCAGACAGAGATATAATGAGATAGACAGAGATACAATGAGACAGACAATGAGACAGAGATATAATGAGACAGACAATGAGACAGAGATATAATGAGACAGACAGAGAGATAATGAGACAGACAGAACAACAGAGATATAATGAGACAGACAGAGAGACAGAGATATAATGAGATAGAGAGACAGAAATATAATGAGACAGACAGAGAGACAGAGATATAATGAGACAGACAATGAGACAGAGATATAATGAGACAGACAGAGATATAATGAGACAAAGATATAATGAGACAGACAGAGATATAATGAGACAGACAGAGAGACAGAGATATAATGAGACAATGAGACAGAGATATAATGAGACAGACAGAGAGACAGAGATATAATGGGACTGACAGAGAGACAAATATATAATGAGACAGAGATAAAATTAGACAGACAGAGAGACAGAGATATAATGAGACAAACAGAGATATAATGAGACAGAGATATAATGAGACAGACAGAGAGACAAAGATATAATGAGACAGACAATTAGACAGAGATATAATGAGACAGACAATGAGACAGAGATATAATGAGACAGACAGAGAGACAGAGATATAATGAGACAGACAGAGATATAATGAGACAGACAGAGAGACAAAGATATGAGACAGAAATATAATGAGACAGACAGAGAGACAGAGATATAATGAGACAGACAGAGATATAATGAGACAGACAATCAGACAGAGATATAATGAGACAGACAGAGAGACAGAGATATAATGAGACAGACAGAGATATAATGAGACAGACAATCAGACAGAGATATAATGAGATAGACAGAGATACAATGAGACAGACAATGAGACAGAGATATAATGAGACAGACAATGAGACAGAGATATAATGAGACAGACAGAGAGATAATGAGACAGACAGAACAACAGAGATATAATGAGACAGACAGAGAGACAGAGATATAATGAGACAGACAATGAGACAGAGATATAATGAGACAGACAGAGAGACAGAGATATAATGAGACAGACAATGAGACAGAGATATAATGAGACAAAGATATAATGAGACAGACAGAGATATAATGAGAGAGACAGAGATATAATGAGACAATGAGACAGAGATATAATGAGACAGACAGAGAGACAGAGATATAATGGGACTGACAGAGAGACAAATATATAATGAGACAGAGATATAATTAGACAGAGAGACAGAGATATAATGAGACAAACAGAGATATAATGAGACAGAGATATAATGAGACAGACAGAGAGACAAAGATATAATGAGACAGACAATTAGACAGAGATATAATGAGACAGACAATGAGACAGAGATATAATGAGACAGACAGAGAGACAGAGATATAATGAGACAGAGATATAATGAGACAGACAGAGAGACAGAGATATAATGAGACAGACAGAGAGACAAAGATATAATGAGATAGACAGAGATACAATGAGACAGACAATCAGACAGAGATATAATGAGATAGACAGAGATACAATGAGACAGACAATGAGACAGAGATATAATGAGACAGACAATGAGACAGAGATATAATGAGATAGACAGAGATACAATGAGACAGACAATGAGACAGAGATATAATGAGACAGACAGAACAACAGAGATATAATGAGACAGACAGAGAGACAGAGATATAATGAGACAGACAATGAGACAGAGATATAATGAGACAGACAGAGATATAATGAGACAGACAATGAGACAGACAGAGACAAAGATATAATGAGACAGACAGAGATATAATGAGACAGTCAGAGATATAATGAGACAGACAATGAGACAGAGATATAATGAGACAGACAGAGATATAATGAGACAGTCAGAGATATAATGAGACAGACAGAGATATAATGAGACAGTCACCAATTGACTTTTTATTTCCCCTTAGACCCCTGGCCAGTCACTGTTATAAAGTACATATTAAAGCTAGAGAACTCTCACTGTATCCGGAGATATAATAATGTATAACTAATAATGTATAAATAATAATGTATAAATAAATTATAGAGCTCTTTGTGATGGCAAATGGGGGACAGCAGAGGAAAAACTACAATACCCGGCATGCTCAGCGCGGGGTCCTCGTATCGCCACCCTCCGCCTCGCCTGATGTCATGTAATAAAATATCGATAAAGAATGGAGCGTGGCGGTACTGGGAGGAATGTCAGTACATAGCCGGACACGGCAGGCGGCACAGTGCTCATGGTCGGTGTGAGTCAGGCAGCTCGGCGGGCAGCCCCGGCCAGGACCCTGCAGGCTGCTGTGTGTCAGTGAGGGAGCCGCACTCACAGAGCTCCCTGGGAGCACACCGGCCGCAGCAATCACAGAGCTCCCCGGGAGCACACCGGCCGCAGCACTCACAGAGCTCCCTGGGAGCAGCCACACTCACTGCACACAGCCTGAGGGAGCACTCACACAGAAGGAGCCCAGAGAGAGAGAGAGAGTGTGCACTCAGGGGAGGGAGGAGCACACTCCCCACATTCAGCTGGAAACTGACACTCACTGCCCCCCCCCCTTCTGAGTGAGGCTGAGACTCACTGCCCCCCCCCCACTCTGCTGAGTGAGACTGACACTCACTGCCCCCTTCTGAGGCTGACTGCCCCCTACTGGTGAGGCTGACACTCACTGCCCCCTACTGAGTGAGGCTGACACTCACTGCCCCCCCACTGGTGAGGCTGACACTCCTGCCCCTACTGGTGGGGCTGACACTCACTGCCCCCCCACTCTGCTGAGTGGGGGCTGACACTCACTGCCCCCACTCTGCTGAGTGGGGGCTGACACTCACTACCCTGCTGAGTGTGGCTGACACTCACTACCCCTGCTGTGAGGCTGACACTCACTACCCTGCTGAGGCTGACACCACTATCCCTCCTGCTGAGTGGGGGCTGACACTCACTATCCCCCCCTCCTGCTGAGTGGGCTGACACTCACTATCCCCCCCCTCCTGCTGAGTGAGCCTGACACTCACTATCCTCTCCCCCCCTGCTGAGTGAGGCTCAGGTCGCTACTGCACAGTGATGAGAGGAGACCTGACATCTATTGTGGATCTTGAACTTCTCCTGGCTGAGTGCTGACAGCAGTCATGTGCTGACTGACCACCACTCACACTCACCCACTGAGTGGGTACCTAACCACATTAAAGGCACATAACAAAGCCCTCCATCCTTCCACCTCCTCCCTCAGGGAGGTGAGAGACCCAGCCATGGAGAGGAGGGAGGAGCAGAACCTGGAATTCACCATGGACAATGTGGAAAAGGTAAGTGATACTCAAATAGTGATCACCATCATTCTGTGCCCATAGAATGACCTTCAGTACTCCGGCTGTCATGGACTACAGTAACCTTTCAGACTGGCTGAGCATCACATGTGCTATAGTCCATAACTGCTGCATGTCAGAAAAATGGCTGGCTGAGCATTGTGAGAGCCATAGTGCCAAATGTCAGCTAGTTTATCATAATCATTGTGGCAGTGGTGAGCCATTACTGTCCCACATCATCCTTAAAATATTACACCGCTATACTGTAAGTCAAAGCTCTATTACACTGCCATTTCTTGGCTCTGCACTGGGGAAACTGAATCCAGTGTTTAAGCTAGTCTGGATATCAACTCCTATTGTGTCCAGCCAACCATCATCCATCTGATGCTTCGTGGACATCCTAATAAGCGTGCCGTATTATTGTGCATAAGACATGAATAATCATGCAATATAATAATTTCATCCATCACGCCAGTGACGTCTTCTGCGTTGAACTTGTGACAGTGAGGTGTCTGCCTGTTGGCACACAATGGATTAATCCCACCTCGTAGTAATAATAATAATAATAAAAAATAAAGGTCTCTGCTCTTTCTGGTACGCAGTAATAGACGTATATAATTAGTATGATTTTGCTTAGAGGTGGCTAGGCCTCCTGTGATTATTTGAGAAAGCTTCTATCTTGTTTTCTCTTATCCTTCTCGCTGCAGGAGCGGCCTGCAGAGCATTGCTCTGTACAGCTGTGCTCTGCTGTGACACCGCCGTAGGGGGATGGGTTTGACGTGCTCCTTGGAGTACCGTGTATGTTTACTTTCTTGCGAGCGGAAGACATCACTGACACAATAGATGTATTGCAGAATGCAATGATCTGCTCCTGTGTCAGAATTTGGGTTTACAAGGGTAATCCTCAAGGTTTCTCCATAGTTCAATCACATTTTGTAAATTAAGCAATCCCTAGTCTACAGCAGTGGAATGTCATTCATCGGTTCCAGATATTGCATTAATAAACAGGACCACATACCATTAACCTGTGCTTTTCTCATATCACAGGAAATCTGATTTCAAACCTGGTCTAGTACCAGGATGGCGCCCAGATACCACATTGATGTGCTTTATGGACTGAGCTTATCTACACCTCTGGATACTGAGCCACGTGCTTGTTCTGTACGAAGTATCATGCATTATTTTCTAAAAAACTTTAACAGAGGGCTTGGTTTTGCTGTATCACAATTATCGATTGCAAAAACAAATCGTCATGACTAGCAATGTATTCAATACTTAGAATGTGTCCACCGATGCAGGATCTGACTCGACATATTACTTAGACCTATTTAAAGACACACTCCAAGCACCAGAACAATATATGCTGCTTGCATAGGTTATGGTGTAAGAAGTCCTATGTCCCTGGCTCCCTACATTTAGTTATCGGGACTCTATAGAGACCTGGACCATGTTATCTCAATGAAGTGGTCTGGGTACCTAGCCCCTGTAGGCAATGCAACTGAAAGCATTGCTATTTTGCAGTAACTGCAAGGTTAACATACCTTTAGTTGCAATCTTCCTGACGGCCACTCGAGGCACGTGCACCCCAATAGCCAATTTAAACTTTCTTATTCAATCAGTTGGTCTCATAAAGACTATTTCCATTTGGGAAGCATTGGGTTGGCTGAGACCATCTACACTGATGATCTAAGCCAAAGGTGGAGTGGCAGGACGGAGACGTTGTGGTAAGACGTGAAAGGTAAGTCATTCTCACCTTTCAAATCCTCACATGGACGGAGGAACATTAAAATAGGTTCTTTTAAACTGCAGTAGCTATCACTCAGATGCTTCCCCAGAGCCTACAAGTACTTGAACGCTATGTGCCTGGTGGGTACATTATCCAAGTGGCTCTTTTACAGAATCTCTTTAACTGAACACTCCGAGTACCATAAACTCTACAGCCCTCCATGGGCAAGTAGTCAAACCTGTTTCGAACAGGTTGACAACTAGTTAGTGGTTGAACAAATACCAGTCACCTCGTCCTGTTCAGCTGGAAGCTCTCGGCAGTGAAGGGCTTAGAGCAAACAGCTGGTGCTGCCAGCCAATTAGCTGGCCATGCATGGCAGAGTTTGACTCAGTGGAGCTATCAGAAGCTTCTTTCTGGAGCTTCCGGCTCTACTGGAGGTTGTGAATGGAACACTGGGAGGGTAGTAGGAAACTTTTGACTTTTAGTGCTTGGATAGTTTATTTAGGAGCTCCACTAGTGAAACAATGAATGGAACTATCCATCATCAGCTGATAACTGGTGTCGTCCTATTTGCATTTACTAAGGAACCATCGCTGATTGCTCACATGTATTCGTAACTTCCAAGTATGTGGCGCTCACTGCAGAAATGGCTTGGTAGGTTTGAAATTTGCAGGCAGGTTCACTGTTTTTAATCACTGGAGGCACGGTCACACAAACATGACATGGCTGAACTCTGTAGAACATAAAATCTAACCTTTTATATTATTCGAGCCAAATAGCCATCTGTGGGCTGTCTCACTGCGAGTGTGGCTTCCCACAATGCTGTGTGTGCGGATGCGTGGCTGACATGTTGTGATTGCATGGATTTGCTCAGTGAGACCTGCAGCCAAACTCTCTTATCATTCACTTTGCAGCTACATTAAACAGACTAGATATGAAATGGAGCCAAAAAAGATTTACACCTCACCTCTCCTTGGAATGGGGGATAACCCTAGTGGGAATGTGTTAGAGGGAAAAAAGGAAACGGAGAGGGTAACCTAAACTAATAACAAAAATTCTATTTTCCGGTTGTATTCAGATGAAAGCTGGAATCCAGCTGTATTAGTCCGTAATGAATTGAGATATCTATTAAAAATGAATGCTTCTTTTTTAGCTTTCATCTGTATACAACCTTTATTGTGATCACCATCATCACCGACCTAATAAATTATAGACCCATACTAACCCTTTGGATATCCTGATCCGGATAATACCTTCAATCCTGACACTTTTGAACCAACTGTGTCTATCGATCCGGATATAAGTATGGGCAGATCATAGGCTATATTTACTTACATATATATATATGGATATAATTTTTACATATTTGTATTGAGATATATATATATATATATATATATATATATATATATATATATATGTGTGTGTATGTTCTAGTCACTCTTACTTTCCATATAATATTGACCTATAAGAGTGGTGTCTGTCTTGTTTTTTGTCCACTTGGACTTTTAACATTACCATTAAAGGACCACTCTAGGCACCCAGACCACTTCAGCTTAATGAAGTGGTCTGGGTGCCAGGTCCTTCTAGGGTTAACCCATTTTTTCATAATTATAGCAGTTTCAGAGAAACTGCTATAATTATGAATGGGTTAAGCCTTCCCCCTAATCCTCTAGTGGCTGTCTCATTGACAGCCACTAGAGGCGCTTGCGTGCTTCTCACTGTGAAAATCACAGTGAGAACGCAAGCGTCCATAGGAAAGCATTGTAAATGCTTTCCTATGAGACACTGAATCGCGCGCAGCTCCGCGCGTGCGTTCAGGCGGGGGAGGCGGAGAGGAGGAGGAGAGCTCTCCGCCCAGCGCTGGAAAAAGGTAAGTTATTACCCCTTTCCCCCTTCCAGAGCCGGGCGGGAGGGGGTCAATGAGGGTGGGGGCACCCTCAGGGCACTATAGTGCCAGGAAAACGAGTATGTTTTCCTGGCACTATAGTGGTCCTTTAAACGATTAATTTTAAAATTCATATTTAAAATTTTTATTAGTTTAGGCTACCCGCACCATTTCCATTTTTTTTTTTTCACTCTAATTCACTTTGCGCCTGGTTCATTCACTAGTCTAATACTATCCTTACCTTTTTGTGTAATTTTACCCCACTCCCTCTAGCATGTAAGCTCATTGAGCAGGGCCCTCTGTTCCTGTGTGTCCAACTTGTCTGGTTATAACTACATGTCTGTTCGTCAACCCATTGTAAAGCACTGTGAAATTTGATGGCGCTATATAAATACCATAATAATAATAATAATTAAAACAATATTGCCCTGTAATTTTAAGCCTGCAATGTAAACTATAGCATTTTTTTTTAGAAAGTGCAATGTCTGCATCGCAGTGTTATAGCCACCTCTTGTGGATGTCTTGCACTAGAGGTGCTTCCCCCTCCAGACAGAGTAAAACTCAGTTTGGGAATAAAATGCTGCTAATAGCAACATTTGATTGTAGGAGCAGCGTTTGGCCACTCATGCGTACCTCCAAACCATTATTCTCTATAACAAGCAATGGATTGGAGGAGTTTGTGAGTGATGTAAGCTTGGATGCTGACATCACCGGAGGTGGAGCTGAAAGCAGGTGAGTAATCATTAGTTAACTTATTTTTAATTTTTAAATCTAAAGGTGGTGGACAGAAGG